TGTTCCTTCTGCCAGACCTGCCCAGTGGAATGCTGAGCCACATGGTCAGCCCCAGGTGAGGATGGGGGGGGGGAAGAAGGGGTCCGAAGTGGAGCCTCAGTCTTCTGCTTCTAAGAGGTGATGTTCAAGACATTTAGTACCTGGAGTAGCAGAGGGCCCCCGACCAAGGTCTGTAGGTGGCAACTCCATTGGAGCTGGATTCTGAAGGTCCCCTGCTGTTCTGGGTGTTAGCATTTGGGTGCTGGCTTGCAGGGAGATGAAGGGGGATCTGGGGGAGGGACAGGGGCCCTGGGGCAGAGGCTTTTAGAAAATAACAGCTATTGGGGACCAGCAGGTGGCGTGGTGGTTAAGGTGCTGGACACTCCCACATGGCCGACCATGGTTCGAGTCCCAGACCTGGTGGCTTCCTTTCTCACTGTCCTCTCTCTCTTTCCTCCTCTGTGTCTCTGGTCAAATTAAAATAAATGAGTGAATAAATAAAATTAAATAAATAATTTTTTAAAAAAGAAAAAGAAAATAACAGCCATTATGAAAATATGGGAGCATGCCAGTTGTTAAGCCACAACTCTGTCAGGGTGGGGGGCAGTAGGTGGCACAGTGGCTAAGGTGCTGGACTCCCACATAGCCCGTGGCAGATGGAGTCTTGGACCCAATAGCTTGAAACTCATGCTGGGCATGTATGCATGTGTGCCCTGGGTCCCAAGAAAAGAATGGAAGAGAAGGGATTGAGGCATGACCATCATCCCCCCTGGGGTGGGAGATTTCCCACTTTTCTCTCTCTTTCTGGTGAACCCACACATCCTATGGCAAAAATAAGTAAATAAATAAATAGGAAGGAAAAAAAGAAACAACCTTGCCCATAGGTGAGCTGAGAAATATGGAAAGCATCGTAGAAATAGTAAAATAAATAAATAAATAAATAGGACCAGCAGTTGGCATCATGGCTATGTCGCTGGACTCCCATGTAGTTGACCGCTGTTAGAGTCCTAGACCTGGTGGCTTAAACTCACACCAGGCACGTGTGCATGCGTGCCCAAGATCCCAAAAGGAGAATGGAGAAGGGATTGCAGTGTGACCATCCCCCCTGGGGGGGTGATTTCTCACTTTCTATCTCTCTGTCTGTCTCTGTCTTTCTGTCAAGCACATACCATGCCCTATAGCAAAAACCTCTCCAAAGGGAAAAAAAAAAAAAAAACACTTAAGTAGGGACCTGCAGATGGTGTAATGATTACGTCGCTAGACTCCCACGTTGTCAACCATGGTTTGAGCCCTGGACCGGGCTTAAAACTAACACCAGGCATGTGCGTGTCTATGCCCAAAATTCCTAGAGGAGAATGGAGGAGGGATTACGGCATGGCCATCCCCCCTTGGGGTTAACTTCTCACTTTCTGTCTCTCTGGCAAGCACACACACCCTATAGTAAAAATCTCTCTCTAAAAAAATAAATAAATAAAAAAGAAATACAATCAAGCAGGTTAATTATTTCCATGCAATCAGTTCCATTGCTAAACAAAAGGGTTTCGGGCTAGTTAGCAAAGACAGTAGCAGGTACAGGATGTCGTACCGGATATGGCTTTCTCTATGGCTAAGAAGAGATATGGCTTTCTCTATGGCTAGCATGAGCTATTTTCTCATGGGAAGAGCAAACAGGTTTAGAGAAGCAGCCAGCCATGTTAGGGTAAGGGAACAAAATGGACGAACAGTTGTTCATGTGCAAGATCTAATATGTGGCCTTCCACATTACACCATCCTCCGTTGGTCTCTCAAATTGGGTCTTAATGATATTATGAAGCCTGCCTTCGATAGCTCAGTTCATGCCAGTTTGAAGCTTCAGAAGACCTTTGGTCTATGATGGTCACTTGGGGTCAAAAACTGGCCACAATCCCTCTTCCTCAGTCCTGTAGTTTGTAAAGACTGTGACCCACACATACACCCAGGGTGTATTCAGGCTGACCCAGCTGAGGGAATTGAACCTCTGTCACCATGCGGCTTCCAGACTGTAGTCTGGCATGCCACCAACTGCCCTCCCAAGGCTGGGCCTCTATAGTTTTAACTTAAATTTTCTGAGTCTCACGTGTTCCTGAGCTAGAGTATGAGCATCCTATATTCCTATATGAGCAACTATATTTTATTATTTTATATCTCCTTGTATGGACTAGCAAAGGCCTCTCAAGAAATAATTATTCTTATTTATCGATATTTTCTTGAGATTTTATATTTATGTTTTAATATAAAATATCATTTTCAAACATATGGATGCTGAATATCTTTTTGAAGAATTTTTTTAAAATTATTTTATTTCAGGACCAGCAGGTGGCATGGTGGTTAGGGCACCAGATTCCCACATGGCATACTGCAGTTCAAGTTCCAGACCTGGTGGCTTGCTTTCTCACTTTTCTTCTCTCTCTGGTCAGATTAAAATAAGTGAATGAAGAAATAAAACTTAAAAAAAATTTAATTTCATTACTTTTTGTTTAATTTGGCCAGAGAAGAGAGAGAGAAAGGGAAAGCAGGAGAGCAAGTCTCCAGGTCTGGAACTTGAACTGCAGTATGCCATGTGGGAATCTGGTGCCCTAACCACCATGCCACCTTCTGATCCCTCTTTTTGAAGTATTTATCCTTACATACATACCTATAGATTCTGTTTCAGATAACAATACTATGTTTTGCTTGGCCACTCCCAGCTCTGTCCTGGGATTTCTTTTTTTTTGGAGAGGTTTTTTTCGCTATAGGGCGCGTGTGCTCGCCAGACAGACAGAGAGAGACATAGAGACAGAAAGCGAGAAATCACCCCCCAGGGGGGATGGTCACGCCGCAATCCCTTCTCCTCCATTCTCCTCTTGGGATCTTGGGCATGCACGCACACGCGCCCGGTGTGAGTTTTAAGCCACCGGGTCCGGGACACGAACTGCGGTTGACTACGTGGGAGTCCAGCGACATAGCCATTACACTAACTGCTGGTTCCCAGTCCTGGGATTTCTTAATCTACCAATATACACAAAGTTTGGGTCCAAAACCAACTTTGATTTTTTCATATTTCTTATTTTTAAAAATTTTAAAAAGAAATTTTTGCTATAGGGTGCACGTGTTTGCTGGAGAGACAGATGATGGATAGAAAGAGAAATCATCCACCAGGGGGGATAGGCACACCACAATCCCTTTTCCTCCATTCTCCTCTGGAGACTTTGGGCATGCACACACATGCATCAGGTAAGAATTTTAAGCCACTGGCTCTGGGACTCAAACCATGGATACCCAGGTGGAGTCCAGTGCCTTAACCACTATGCCGCCTGCTGGCCCTTCTCATATATTTTAATAGGTTAACTGTTTATTGTTAAGTATGGTAATAGACAAACAAAAATATCTATTGCATGACAAAATAACGGTATTATTAAATGTCTTTCTAAATCCACATGTAAGCAACAATAATAACAAATGATCACTCCTTAAAGTAGAAAATACAATGAATTCGAATTGTGTTTTACCTGTCAAAAAGCCAGTGGTAACCTCCAGAGGATGCTTTCCAGCTTCACCCTACAGAGAACAATGCCCTCTGAAAACTCCACTTCCTGCTAGGTTGATGGTGCCTGTCTTCCCTCTGAATTTCCTTTGGCACATACTCCTTTAAAACTAGCCAAACACTGGAAAAGTTTCCACTTTTGGATCTCCAGCCCTGTTGCAAAACCCTTTGTCACTTTACCCAGTCTGCTTGAGAGGTTCTCCGTTTCTTTTTCGAGGGAATCACAGTTTTCTCAGAGCCTGGTTTGTCACTTGGGTTTCTCCTGGATCACTTCGGTGATTCTCTGTACAGACCGAAAAGCATGAAAAAGTCAAAAGCAGGTAATTCCAGCCTAAATTGGAGCAGTGTTCCCCCCACTTAAAGCAACCAGGTACTTTGCAAAACTCCAGGCAGAAGAATGAATGATAGCACATTCACCAATAGGAAGTGGAGAAGAGAATTTGTTGAAGTTTGCAACCCAATCCTTGGGAACCAGAGGTGGGAATTTTAAAATGGGGTTGCCCTTTTCCTTGAAATGTTCTTAAAGTGGTATCGCTGCCTGTTGATGTTGGTAAAAGATGGGAAAAAGCACATGTTTATATCAGAGGACTCTCTCCTCTTTAAATGAGACAAATGTGCAGACACACTCTCTCCAAAGCAAGAGAACTAAGCGTGGTCACAGGACACGACCGTATCACATACGATCACTTGGCAACTTTTATGACAACTTAGGGAGGACATAAGAATTATTTTAACATGGTTTATTTTTCATGATCAGAGAGCTGATGTGAATGACTTGAAACAACAGTATTCTCTCTTTTTAAGAAAGAAATGAGAAGAGGCAAGCACTGATTACTTTGAAAAGTTTATGTGTGTGTGTGTGTGTGTCTCTTCTAATATTAGCAATTAGCAGCTAGTCTTATTTTGATTGATCGTTAATACTCTAAGGACTTTTTTTTTTTCTTTAACCAGTGTGATAGTCTCCTCATTTTTTTTTTTTTTTTTTAGAGATTTTCGCTATAGGGCGCATGCGCTCGCCAGACAGACAGAGAGAGACATAGAGACAGAAAGCGAGAAATCACCCCCCAGAGGGGATGGTCACGCCGCAATCCCTTCTCCTCCATTCTCCTCTCGGGATCTTGGGCACGCACGCACACGCGCCCGGCGTGAGTTTTAAGCCACCGGGTCCGGGACGTGAACCGCGGTCGACTACGTGGGAGTCCAGCGACATAGACATTACGCTAACTGCTGGTTCCCATAGTCTCCTCATTTTGAGTCCAACGACAACAAAAAATTCTGAGTAAAGGTATCACATATTCCTACCTATTATGACAACTTATAAAACTCTTATAAGTGCCATATCCTTCAGTAACACACGAAGACTAGATTACATAAGTGATAAATGCTATTATAATTCATACCTTGTTTTGGAACTTTTTAATTTAATGTAACTGCTTCCTAGGTTGTACATCTCTAAAAGTTGTTAAGTGAGCCAATGTCCATTACTAGTTCATTACTGAGTTAAGGTTGCTTGACAATGTGACCCTAGCAAATTTATACCTTTTCAAAGGCAAAAACAAAACAAAACCCAAAGGCAATTTCAGGAGAGGAACATTTACTTATTTATTTATTTTGGAGAGGTTTTAGCTATAGGGTGTGTGTGCTGGCCATTAAGACAGAGACAGAGAGATAAAAAGCAAGAAATCAGCCCCCAGGAGGGATGGTCACACCGCCATCCCTTCTCCTCCATTTTCCTCTTGGGATCTTGGGCACACACGCACATGCACCTGGTGTGAGTTTAAGCCACCGGGTAGAGCCGTGGTCGACTATGTGGGAGTTCAGCGACATAGCCATTATGCCAACTACTGGTCCCTTCAGGAAAGGAACATTTAAAAAATAATTTTAGACATAAATTTGCCAATTAATAAGTATAGCAACCTTTTTTTTTTTTTGAGAGAGAGATTTTTGCTAAAGGGATCATGGGCCTGTGGTAGAGACAGAAAGAAAGTGAGAAATCAGACACTTAAAAATAAAATTTTAGGGGCCAGCAAGCAGCCTGGTGGTTAAGGATGCCAGAACTCCCACAAGGCCGACTATGGTTCAAGTCCCCAACCTGGTCGCTTGCTTTCTCTCTCTGATCATATATAACAAAAGTTAAATAAAATAATTCTTTAAAAAAAGAAAATTCCAATGTTCTCAAACAATGCCTGAACTTTTAAAAATCACCATCAAGAAAGCTCTTTTCCTCTGATGTCTCTTGCTGCTAACACAGGCATTTTCATCTTGAAATATTTTTTGATGGCCTTCTTCGCCATGCTGGGAACTGCCGTAATATTTAACTAAATTGTTATCATCCCTTTTGGTAATCCTTTTCCCCAACAGAAAACATTGTCTTCTTTCCTTTTATGTGATCAAAGTATCATAATTTATATACATTTATAGAACTTATTTGACACTGGGCTTTTGAAGGGCTGCCTGATATTAGGATCTTCCCAAAGCGCCCAGTGCGCCCTTAATCTCGAACCGAGCCTTTCACTAAAAACCTTGACTTCATTTCTAGCACCCGCGGGCATCCGGTTTTGACCATCCCTGTGCCATGAGGTCGCTGCTAACAGTTCAATGGGATTATCTGAGTCCAGATTTTAGGACGCAACACGCGCTCAACGTCGGGAGTTACAGCTGCAATCCCTCAATGTCTGTATTAAATAAGAGGCTAAGTGCCTGATAGAATGGATGAATGAAACAACAGGTCAGCGGCGGGCGATTGCAGAGGTTGGAAAGGATTAAATAACCCTGTAAAGCGCCAAGCCTAAAACCGCTATCTAAAGCGCCACCCCGTGGCCGGATCCGGAAACTACTGTAGGGCCGTGGGCGGGGCAAATCCGGAGGAAGTCGCGCTCTCAGCCAATAGGCATAACGCTTGGAAAACGCTTCTCGCCCCGCCTATCG